CTTACGTGGAGACAAAACAGGGCGTTCATTTTTTGCGGAGTAGTTGCTTTTCCTCACGTTAAAATTCCCCTGACGTCTGCGTGGGTAGTGCGAATTCGAACCATTCCAGCGGCATGTTGTCGCCATCTTCTGGATTGCTGACCGATTTCCACGATCGCGCATACGCAAATATAAACTGGCTATTCGACGGGACAACGAATTGTCACAAGTGGCTGCCCACACTTTTAAGACGGGTTACTATTTTAACCTAGCGGCCACTAAAATAATCGCCCACGCCGGAAGGAATACTAGCCGAGAATCGATTGAAGCCCCGGCGTCGGATGAGAACTCACTCAACCGGTGTATCGATCTGGTTCCAGCGTACAGAGCCCAGCGTAGTCACCTCCAGACCTGCGTCACTGATCATTGATTGGCAAGCATCCCACCTCCTCCCCCACATAATTGTTGTTTGTTCAATTGCTGCTCTTACCTCTGTTGATGGGCGCCTGCACGACTTCGACGGCTCAGCCAAATAAACAAATTGTCCCGGTGCTCAACCAGTCTTCTTCATGGGGGTTGGTGACTGTTCAACGCGCGCTATCCGGAGGCAGTGTAACCGTTGCGTGTATAACTAGGGACTTTTGTCTCTCATACGGTCTTTTTCCCTGCAGCTTCCTAACGCAACTGTCTCCCTTTTAGAAAAAGATCAAGATGACATTGGAGAAAGTAGACTGCATCCTGGCTCTTCGACAGATGGAGAAATGTTTTCGCCTTTTTGCGAAGCCAGACATTCAGCGTCAGGCAAGTGGTACGTCAGCCTTCTTTTTATGTTTGACTTCTGATGTAACCGTGACAGAGAGTGGAGGCCTGCTTTCTATACTTCTTATCGTTGTTCCTCGGTGTCGTCGTCGTCACAGTGGGACCGTCTTCATCGGGTTGCCCTTGCAGTTTTGGAGTGTTTTGACGATTGGCGTTACGTTTTTTTTTGCTTGGAGGTCATCTAGGGGTTAGCTCCTAACCCTAGATTTATGACGCCTCTGAGGCGAGGTTGTTGTGTTACTGGTGATTTTTTCAGTCAACATAGGCGTCGAGCAGGTGAAATAGGTGCAGGGGCGAAGTCGTGGTGGATGACGAAACGATATAGGTGGTAGTTGAGGTCAGTCTGCCTAGATCCAAGCATTGAACGCTCCATACGCTTTACCCACAGACTTCGATGAGCCGGTGTGGTCTACTCGTCCTTAGGCAGAGTTCATGTATACCTGGAGGCCAGACTGCTGTGAGCTCTGTTGCCCCCGGTAAGTCTGAGAGAACATGTTAGTTGCTTGAAGGCAGACATACCGGGGACTATCCGGTCCGGAACGTGCAATTATGATGCGGCAGATGGAGAGGGCGTTATTGACTTGGCCGCCTTGTCGGTTGCCTGCCAGCGTCTCGGGGAGAGTGACTCGATCGTGCAATGCTTAGAATTCATTGGGATATCAATGATCACAGTCGCCCCACAGATAGTAAACGAACGTCCATAGGATGCGGTTGATGCGCCACCACCCAGCGCTTGTACTTGGGACAGTAATTGTTTGGTCGGTGTCGCCTGTGTCGTTAGTAGTCGAGCCTTCACCATTGGTGTTGGCCGTTGGCGTAACAATCCTTCTACCGTACCGGTCCCTCAGTACTGTCGCCCCGACCGGTGTCATCCTGTGAGATCAAACGGTCGGAGCTGGAGAAAGGGAGGTGGTGTGGGGTGTTGACGGATTGAGGGTGCGAGAAGTATGATGTAACCGGAACACTAGTCTCCCGCTCCACAAGTACTTGCAGAAACTTGTTTTTTCACACGCAACTTCCCCTCCAGAGCCCTGGGAAAGAGAGAATCGATCGTAGACGCGTGCGTTTTCTGTTGTTAGCCTCGGCTACGCCGGTGTCCTACTCCCGCTGTCTTTGTCAGTCTTGCTTTACGTAGGAGAAGGCGTTAAGTCACCAGAACAGGAGACTGGGGGGTTTTCTGACGGATTTTCACAAGATTAACTGGTGATGTCTTTATACAAGTCGTTTTTTGTAGGTCACCTCTGCTAGTCATCAGTGTGGCCCTTCATTGGATGATGCTGCAATTGATTCCTTCTTTTGTTTCATCGCCTAGACTGTTTGATGGCTCTTCGACAGGCCCACCTCTGTGTGGGCTACTTAGAGTCGCCTGATGTCCGACGCCACTGCTCAACTGCCCTCATAGAGTCGCTCAAACGATTGGCAGAAGGCATAAAAATCCTCGCTACCAATCTCTACCTTCGCCGGTTTGGCAAAACCGAATCGGAGCTGGGATCTGCCTCGCGTCTGCTTTGTTCCGTTTGCACAGAAAATATCCTTTTTGCTTCTTGCCTAACTCTTCACTTTTCATCTTTTTTTCGTTTGTTGTTTCTCATGCGCAAGCCCTTTCCTTAACTGTCGCCCTCCCCTGAACGCATCCGGCCCAGTCCCTTCAGCTCTTTGTGTTCGAATGGCCACGAACTGCGTGAGTTAATGCTACTTTGTCAGTCATACTTTAATTGCTGGCGGCCAACCAGTTCCGTATAGTCTTCACACATAGGACGTCTCAGGCTGTCTCGGGTAGATGCTACTTAAGTAATGTGCGTATTTACGCAACCATTCGCATCCAAGGATGTGCAGCTGATGCGCTATCTCATGAAATGTTAACCGAAATTCTGAAATGCGTTTTCGATTTGAAAATATTGCTTAAGTAGGGTAGATATTTCAGCCAGGTCGGGATGCCGATTTTCGAACGAGCTTATTTCTGGCTGCCTCCAAAAACTATACTGTATGGTATGGATTTTCCCACTGATGGTAGATGTCCTTATAAATTCAGATATATTTTACAGGAAACGTACAAAAACTCCTCCTTCGTCTGCCCATTTGGTAACAAATCACGTCTTCGAATTTTATGCTTCAAGAAAAAACGTCTCGCGGTTTAAAAAGCCTTTTCAATTCCCGAATAATTTGGAACTCGACCAGCCATTACACTTCCATTCAAGGTTCCCAAGCTACAAGCTGCATATTTCCCCCACAAGTAGTCATATTTTTCAACACGTTATTAAAAAAGACGTCTAGCTGGACTCAAATAATTTCGCAATGGATGTGGACCATGTTATCTACTTTAGTAGTAACATTAATAAATGGACAGATAGGCGTTTAACGGTTTTACGAAACCCTCATGATTATAAACTTTTTTTCAAAACTAAAAGATACCCTTCAGGCATAAAATTTGGGGAAGACGTAATTTATTGCCAAGTGAATAAGAGGAATAATGCGTTTGTGCATGTTTTCTATAAAATGCACTTGTATTTATAAGATCAAAGTGGGGAAAATTCACATTACCCAAGTAGTCATTTTTCTACAGTGTAGTTTTTGCAGGCTGTGTCGGAAAGTTCGTTCAAAAGCCGGCACCCTGACGTTACTGAAACACTTAGAGACTATGCTGCACGATAATTAGTATTACTGCCTTACTTAGTGATCTTTTCGAATCTAAAGCACATTTCAGAACTTCAGCTAACATTTTACGGGACAGCATAAGTCCTGGCAAATCTGTCCAACTGTTGGAAAATTACCTCTCGAAAGTGAAATGTGGTCTGGCTGCAAAACGCCTTAGCAGCTTGTGTATGCTCTAGAGTGCAACCTGTGTCTTTGTTTGGCCCTGATGCTTTCACTCTGCATGGCATCCGACTGATCTGAAAGCAATCGCTTGCATCCAATCAAAACCCCATGGAGACCTCCTGATGCTCGTATACATTAAGCCAAACTTCTGATACAACCCGCTGGTGCTTGTCATTAGATGCGTTCTCCGCTGGGGAGGTGGATGAGGAGTCAATCCCTGAGAAATCTACTATTCTGAACTCCCGGCCAAGCCAGCACCCCGCTTCTCAGGCACTACGCAGCTGGGCTGGCGGATGCGGGCCTTCCGCATCCACTTCCAAGGGCTCACTTCTGCAATTTTAACTTTTGTTGTACTTGCTACCCCCTTCCCCGCGGCCCTGATGAGAGACTTAAAAGCTGAACCCCCTAGTGGTAATCTCTGCCGTTACACGTGAAAGTAGAATCCCCGGGAGTAGTTAAGTAGATTAGATCGCTCTATGCGCCCGACTTCTCGGGGTTCTTGCTCCAGCGATCGCGTTTACTTCTCAGTTATCCCCTCCCAGTCCTGGACTCGTCGAAATTCTTGTTCGGACTTCTAAAAAATGGCAGTAGCCTCACCAAAATCACATCTGGAGGTTATCGGCGCCAGTTAGGCAATACGCTCAGCCATTAGGACTCCGGAGACGCCATGAGACAGTCCTTGCCAGTGCTTCTTGTGCGTAATTCCACCTCCGAGATCATTCTTGCCGCCAAATCGTGAATTTACTTGCCAGCCGCACTGACGAAACCGCTTATATTATCTGCTAGTTCGGTTGATTTTAGTACTTCCAGATACAGTGCGCAGTATGGGTCCAGAATTTAAAACACATCCGTTTTACCGGGAATACCGGCGCGCTTGAATGTCTTTATCATGCTAGGCAATATCAGTTCTATCGTTTCGCTCTGCGGGGTTTGCATCATTTCTGGTTTGTTTGCCCACCCCCAGCTCGATGTTCTGACTGTTTCGAGCCCTGCACGGACACCAGTTTCTTCGAGTGCTCCGAATGTAAACGAACAGCCATCATGACTTGTAACCTAGGTGAGTCAAGCGGTGTGCTTCTTGGTTCTCCCCGGTTATCACTATTGGTGTAGCGTTTATGCCACTGTCTCTCCCTCCCTTGCAGCACGTCGTTCGCAGTGGAGGACAGCAATAAGCTCGCGTTTTTGTCCATTCTGCGACATCATTCGAGTTCCTGTCTACTTCTGAGGAGCGGACGGTCTCCCTCCACCCTTCAATGAGGAATATGGGGGAAAACAGTGTATATTTGTAAAGAAAAAGTTTTATATATCACCTTACTACCGTATTACTGACAAAAAGAAGACCACCGAAGACAGAGGTGGCGCTAAAGTGGCTTTGGAACAGTGGTTTAGTGAGCTACACATATCGCCGGGGTTGAACTCCCAGATAGGCGCGGCAAAATAGTTTCTCGCAGCCAGTGGATGTGTCGGCTGTACAGGGTAGAGGCCCAAGCACCTGAAAAAGGATCTGGTACAGCAATTGAGCTTTTCACCGAAAGCGGGTCATTCTCAGCAGGAGGGTTCGCTGTGGACTGCTGTGCTGCAGTTACTGCCAGGCAGTCAAAGGCGGGGAAGCTGGACGAGTCAGCTGTCTCTACGAAGAGCGCATCCAGAAGACGTCTTGGGTAGAAAGCCAAAGCGCACAAGTGTTGATATAAGTTTTAGAGGAGGAGTTTTGGGCTCGCGCGCATAAGCTTTTTTAAAAAATTAAAAAGAAATAAAGGAGTACACAGTGAGGAGGATGTAGAAAGTAGAAACTACTGCCCACTCGTTTGTTGCGTGACTACTATTGGAACGGTGAAAACGCGACCCAGGATATTATGGTTCAAAAACCTAATCGGTGATAGCGCCGGCTGTCACGACTTCGGAGGATGACTGCTTGTGTGGCGACCGCACGCTAGGTCTTCAGTCAACGGGGTGTCTTTCTGTACGTAAGAGAAGCGCGGGCGCGCAGGAGAGAGACATAGGCTTACCTGTACATCCAGACTGGCTCGTTTTCTGGAGCGGCGTGAAGGATACTGTCTACGTTTTTCGCCTCCTGCCACAGTTGTGCCAAGAAGGCGCTGTTGTCCTCATTCCCCCCTCTGGCGGTCTGCTCCTCCCTCCAAGTCTCCAGAAGGTGCGCACGATAGCTCCACCCGCTCGCGTCAGTAGGATGCATCAACAGCCAGGTGAGGTGACGCGAGAGCTCCAAATGCACAAGCTGGAATGGAGCGATGAATCAGGTCAGGAGACAGGTGAAAGTGTTCGGAAAGCCACCTTCAGCCCTCCATGACTCATAACTATTGCAGCTGTGTTAGGTACTAAGAATATAA